GCGGTCTCCTTGTTAACTCTTCATGCTGCGCTTTCGCAGATAAATAGGTAAGGATCAACGATTTTGTGGGAAGAAGTGTAAAGATACCAAGCTAAAGGGGAATGCATACATAAACCTATCGAGAATAGGGTAGTGATTATCTAGGTATCACCTATGGTTGCTTTAACTCGGCATTCGTTGACTGAATATTATGCTAGAAGATGAACACAAAGGAGTTCACTCTGAAACAAGAAAAACGGCAGAACTGCTCATCTGTCAGAGGGTCTGTCTCAAAGGCTTTCCATGTGATACAGTTAATTAACTAGTTTTTCATAGCGTCTCCGCTGACTTCTCTGATGATTGCGACGTCGACGCTTCCACGTTTATGCGTTCGGCGAAGTGGGGTGGGGGGGGGACGGTGTATTAAGTTCATGCAGCCTTCGACCCAGTTAATCCGAGCCAAGTTCGGGGAAATTGAGATTGTGCGGTCAGTAGCTTCAAGCAAATGATTATATGTCAAGTTTCCCTTCAAGTCTATGGACAAATTCTGCCATTCTTAAATGGACACAATGACATCCATCTGATAACTGGCAACGTTTTCGCCACTATTTACTCTCCTCCTTTTTTCGGCACTAATATTCGTTCAGCTGGTAAATAGAGTCTCTACTCTGTGTTTTTTGAATTTAATTTCATGCCTGGCTGACATTCCGCAAGGCTTACCCCCTAGGGTGCCATCGCTGAGAATTTGCCTTTAGAGATAAAGGCATTTTACGTTTGGTACGATATTCACCGGAAAGTGTTTATAGTGGATAAGGGCTATTGACAGTTTCGAAGTAAAATGACTGACAAGGCGATATTTCTTGGTCAAAATTTCAACTTCGCTGTAGTGCACAATAAATACGTGAGCAGTCTGTTTATTTTAAAATATATATGACTGTGGCATTTCCATTACTGGGTGCGTTTCTCGATTCCTTAATATATCTACTGCTTTCTTACTTATTTGGACACAGAAATATGAATCCACGTGTCACAGGCGGCCTTGCGTTGAATTCGAGGCGGAGTACTTACACTCTCGTCCTAATTTTAATCCTAATGATGACATTAATCTTCCACATCCTGAACCAAACGCCTACAATTCTAACTCGAGCCCTCCAAACCAAAACCATAAAACTTCATTTTAATCCAGATTTTCCTGGAAGTTGGCCTAATATTATCTCTATTTCGGGTGGTTCCTCAATTGATGCATTGCATGGGGGGAAGGGGGGAGCAACTAACTGATCCCTACTACTTACTGATTAACTAACTCGAAGTTAGTTAGCACAGCAAATAATTTGTGCAAAGAACCACTGCATCATTCAGCAATGACATACCTGATGGACCTCCTAATTTAAACAAAGACATGTTAATCCCAGTTTTAGACTACTATTGCTTGCGACACAGAAATTCTCGCAATCCTGAGCGACTTCTGGGTGGCACTACAGACGTTGCCATTTCGTCTTAATCCTAAGTTCAATTTTGTGAGTCAAACCTAACCTCTGTACGGTGCCAGATGTTTTACGTTCGCCATAGTAACTTCGAAGATAACCCCAAAATCTGTCAGCCACTTCTCTTCTTAACTTCACCCTGGCTAAAACTCGAATTTAACTTTTTGATAAGCCCTTATTTCTTCATTCCTCCCTCACGCATCTCCTAAAGTGTCCTGTTGGAAATTTAAATTAGACACATAGCATAAATGGTATGTAATCCTTATTTTTTGTTGGATTAAGTTGAAAATTAGAAAGATTTTGTTGGGAAAACGTTTTACTGTTGTGTGCTTAATCTTCGTGCAGCATATATAATTTGTCAGTTTGAGTGTCAGGTTGTTGTCAAGACACCTGTGCAGAAACCGGACCTGCGCCTCGGTCGAGGTCGCACAAAGAGCAAAAACTTCCTATTGTCGGACTGATCGGAGCGCATCACGCCAAAAATTGCCATTATAAGCGAACATGCGAGTCCCAGGTGTCAACAAGGGCTTTTTTGTAACAAACTTCGGCAACGCGTTGTTGTAAAGACACCTGTGCACAGGTGTTCTGAAAATAACGTGTTGCCGAAGTGTGTTACATAAAAACCCTTTGTGGACACCTGGGACTGACATGTTCGCTTGTATTGGCTATTTTCAGTTTCTATATCTGCCGGCATATTAGTGAATTAGATGCAAAAACGACAGTCAATGAAGTAGTATTATTTATTATTTGCACTAATTTCTCATTAAATTACAGTCACGGCAGAGTCATGCTTCCCCTGTTCAAACCTTAAACTTGGCCCCAAACCTGACCCACAAAAACCCGAAACTAACCTCAACCCTAACCTTAAATCCAGCCGTATCACCTCTAGAATTCAAAGTAAGGTCACCTGTAGTATCGTAGGTACATATAACCATGTTCCACCCAATAGAATTTGCGCTGTATATAGCCGATATGTTATCTCACAAAATGTTAACCATGGTTCGGAAATGTGTCTTCTTTTCGAAAAGGCTACGTAGTGAGGGGCTTTCTACCAACTATGTTGTACGCTAATCCCATGACCTTTCAGTCCGGCTTTCGAACGAGCTTCTTTCCGGCCGACTGCCCCAACTGAGCTCTGTAGAAAATGACTGATTAAGGTGTATGCACTTGTATTCTTGATTTGCGATGTCTTTATAAATTCAGAGTTATGTTCTCGAAATCATGCAGAAAAGATCATTCCTTGCACTCATTGCATCAAGTTTCATACTTGCGTCCAGAGTTTACGACCATGATGCTGTAAAAGTTATATCAAAGGAAAAGCCCACATTTATCTCAGCCACGTTAAAGACTTCACACACTGCTCATAAAAGTGTGTAATGGATGCGGACTCTGTTGTATACTCATAAGCACCCTTAATAAATGGAAAAAACGATGCTTTATGACTGAACATTTCACGGTCTTACAGAATGCCGTAAGTAGAAACCGAAAGATACCCTTCCTTCAAGTAGAAATTTTGAAATCAAGTAAGCTGCTACCAAACGAGTAGAAAAAGGAATATCTTGGGGCAGGTTTCTATAAAATATATTTAAATATAGGAGGGCATCAAAAATCGATGAGACAACTGTATACTCCCTAAACAGTCATTCTTTGCAAAGCATTGTTTTTGCACACGTTAGGAAAGTTGCTCGTGCAAAATCTGGCCTCCTGACCAGACTGAAATATTCACTGATGAGTCTGCGCGACATTTAATTTTGTAACCCTAATGAAGTAAATTGTTCTCCAAGCCAAAGCATATTTCAGCATTTCGATTAACGTTACATGAGGCACTGCACTGCACTGCAGTCCGCTGTAGATTTTCTTTAGATAGAAACCGCGTCAACCTAATGCATATAAAATCCACACAGTCGGCGTTTTGTTTTTATATCTTGTTTTACAGAATGTAAACCGTGGCTTGCTAGTGCGCTCGCAGCTGCGTCATCGAATCTACGCCGTGCACCAACTGCCGGATTCAACTCTGCACCCACGCTTTCGCAACCGCCTGCTAGACATCGCGGCCCACCTGGCGGCCAGTAATACGACGACGGACCTACTGAACACGTCTGCCGTCGCGCGTGAGGTGCTTATGCAGGACGGCGACTACGCCGGCAAACATTACGGTGCGCTGGTTGACCACATACGCGCAGCCTACCTGGCCGATCTCATTGTCCGGTGCGTCAGGTGTAAAATGACCTTGCCAGCGTGCACGCGTTTACGTGATTTTTAATCCGCCTAGGTGTGAAGCGATCAAGTAAACACTGTATGTAAGTGACTGAAAAAAACAAACACGGACGACTTTACAGACCTTCAGACTGGCGAGAAACCGTCTTGTTGCATTCCTTTGAGGGGGGTCAGTTATTATTTCTGAATATTCACAAGTAGTTTTATTTGATTACCTTCCACACGCTAGATACTGTGGCATACTAACAAAAGCGAAATAATTTATTTAGCTCAGTTTTCAAAAACCCGGTGGCATTGGAACCCAGGCCGGTAAGGGTGAGGGCCATAGCACTGTCAGCGCTCGAGCCAACGGAACTACGAGGCTCCCACTGGGAT